CCATCGAATCCCCCCTCCCAAGCAGCCATTTTCTCCCTGGGAAACTGATCCCTGTGACATCCGGAGATGAGGTATAATTCCAGGAAATCTCCAGGCCCCAACTGGAGGATGGGAACCTTCTGTATGGAATATATACTGAGGTAATGTTAAGCAGTGGTGAGGATATTTTTTTTCTTTTTAAACGTAAGAATACTGGGCCAGAAGCACACACTTTCTCCGTCGCACGTGGCTCTGAATAAGGCAATCCCTTTCCGTGGGAATCAACACTGGACAGAGAGGGGGTGAAAAACCAGCCTGTTCTTTGGACTCCTCAGTGCAGTTCTGGAGTTCCATGAATGACCGGGAATGGATGAATGGCTCCGTTTATGTGACAAGGCCGAGTCCTTTCCGCACACTGGAGCTGGGGGGGAATCTCTGGAGTGTGTCTGTGGGCGGGAATCTATGATCTCCACACCCTTCCCTCTGACTTTTTTTCCTCTCTCTCTCCGGCTTCCTGTTGCAATAAGGAACTTGGATTTGCCAGCCACGCAAGTTTCACTCTCTTCCCTTTTCGGAGCCTCTCGCTCGCGAGGGAGGCCTCTCCAAGGCCGACATGGAGCCCGGCCGGCCGATGTGAGCACCGGGCTGGCTGAACTATGGTCTGGCTGGGGCTCTTCCCAGCCTTCGCAGCCACGGTAAGTGGGAGCCACAGAAGGCGGGAAGGAGGCTAGGTTTGGGCCGCGGTTGTCTTCCTGGATCAGGGTGTCATGATCTGGTGCCTGGCTGGGGCCTGAGGAATGGCAACAACAGAGGCGACCGGAAGTCTTCTCCTTAGTCATCTGCTAGGGTTGCCAGCCCTCCAGGTGGGGCCTGGAGTTCTCCCACAATTACAAGTGGTCTCCAGACTAGAGAGATCATTTTCCCTGGTAAAAGCGGCAGGTTAAAGGGGCAGGCTTTGTGGAAGACCATAGATATTAGGTGAAATCTCTCCCCCAAATTAACCCCTCCGCAGGTACCACTCCTAGGAGTTACCATTGTCAACTAGGCAGGGCCCGGAGATCTCCAGGGATTACAACTTTGGGAGGTTTTGCTGACATGACACTGCATCCACCTCAAAAGGATGCTGTTAAGTGATCTCCATGCCAGGGAGGAGAGAATGGAGATTCTCGGTTTGCTTCCCACAATTAGAAAAGACACCTTTAGACATGTAACTGCTATTTTGACATGTTTATTGCTTTACAACTGTTGACCTTATAACCTTAGCTTGTTATTTAGTTCTGACTTTGCATAGCTTAAACATCATCATGTCACATGTTAATTTGCTGTTAAGTCCCTGTCTATAAGTTTGAACCTTACCTACCGTTCCAGTGCATTTGAAGAAGTGTGCTTTGCACACGAAAGCTCATACCTTGCATAAACCTTTGTTGGTCTTAAAGGTGTCACTGGACTCTAACTTTGTTCTACTGCTTCAGACCAACACAGCTGACCTCCTGGATCTAACTTCTCTCCAGTTAGATTTGAGTCCAGTAGCACTTTAGAGACCAATACTATTTTCAGGGTATAAGCTTTGACGAGTCAAAGTTCCCTTAGTCAGACACAGACTAGAATAGAGATCTGGGTCCTTTTATCCCAGGCAGGAGGTGGGAGGGGTGTTGTAAAGGATGCTTGTAAACGACGCAGAGGTACAAAGCCTATTATAGGTGGCTTAATTAGAGCCGAGAGGAAATGCTCCACATCACAGAGACCAGTTCCCCTGGAGAAAATGGTAGCTGCGGAGGGAGGACTGGATTATGCCCCCCTGAAGTCTCTCCCTTCTCCAAACTTCACCTTCCCCAAGCTTCACCTCACCTCAAAAAAAAAAAAAATCTCCAGGAACCTCCCAACCTGGAGCTGGCAACCCAACCACCCCCCAAATCTCTGAGAATTTCCTGGGCCAGAATTGGCCTCGTGGTCTGTCTCTTGGCCTGCCAGCAGTAGAAAAGAGTAAGAGTCAGTAGCACCTTTAACAAAATTAGTTTTAGGGGATGAACTTTCATGAATCACTGCTCACGTCTTCAGATATCTTCAGAAGTATCCAAAGAAGTGAGCCATGACTCAGAAAAGTTCATCCCCTACCATGAATTTTGTTAGTCTTTAAGGTGCTCCTGGACTCTTACTTTTTTCTACTGCTACAGACAGACTAACACAGCTACCCATCTTGATCCATCTTCTTCACCTGCTAGTTGGCTCTTTGTTACAAACAAATGTACGGACATACAGGAAGGATGTACATGTGTTCGCTGTAACGTGTGAACCGGGCTTGTTTATGCAGGAGGCTTAAGAAAACAAAACGGCAGGGCCCAGGGGCCATGAATCAGAGAGAGAAAAGAGTTAAGACATAATTACGTAAAATTCAGCTTTAATCAGGATAGGAGACCATTCATTAGTCATGGTATGATGTGGTAGTTAATACCTATACTGGGTGGAAGTAGCTACTGGTTTTGTTAAGATAGTCCTACTTGATGGGCCCTGTTCCATCAGGGGATAGGGATCCCAGCCTCCAGGTGGGACCTGGGGATCCCCCAGAATTACAACTCATCTCTACTGATGACTACAGAGATTGGTGCTCCTGGAGAAAATGGCTGCTTTGGAGGGTGCACTCTGTGGCATTATACCCAGCTGATGGGAGCTGATCTCTGTAGTCTGGAGACAGCTGTAATTCTGGACGATCTCCAGGGCCCCACCTAGCGGTTGGCAACCCTGTGTGCCATTTCTGTTTTTTATGGTCTGTTTCTAGCATAAGTGGTGTTTTATGGGTTTCATCTGAGGATGTTGAATGTTGTTTTATGCCTATCTTTATGGCCCTGATTTGTTTTTATAGCTTGGTTATTATTGGAATATTTTGTGCTTTTTTATGATTTCATTGTTTTGTTTTTACCTTACGAGATGCTGAGAGTAAGGCTCTGGATAGGCAGCACATACATTTTCTAATTTACTTACTTCCTTTATTTATATACCACCTGCCTTCCTAAGGGGCATCCAGAGCAGCTTATGTAGTTCTCCTCTCCTCTGTTTTATCCTCACAACGGCCCTGTGAGGTGGGCTAGGCTGAGAGTGTATGAGTGGCCGAAACATCACCCAGCAAGCTTTCATGGCAGAGTGGGGATTCAAACTTGGGTCTGACACTTTAACCACTGCACCAGGCTGGCTCTCATAAAATCAATTAATCAAGTGAGCTCTTTTACACTGGAATTCAGGTTGAAACTCCAAATGTGAAACAGCTGCATTTTGGTGTAGTGGTTAAGTGCGCAGACTCTAATCTGGGAGAACCAGGTTTGATTCCCCACTCCTCCACTTGCACCTGCTGACGTGACCTTGGGTCAGTCACAAGCTCTGGCACAGCTGTACCTGAAAGAGAGCTCTCTCAACCCCACCCGCCTCACAGGGTGTCTGTTGTGGGGAGGGGAAGGGGAAGGAGTTTGTAAACCGCTCTGAGACTCTGAGTGAAGGGCGGGGTATAAATCCAATCTCCTCCTCCTCCTCCTCCTCCTCCTCCTTCTTCCATTTGGGATTTATTCAGAGGTATCATGCTACCTTCTACCCACCCCACTACCCCCCTCCACCCTGGGGCTCAACCAAGATTTGGGATTTTTTAATCTCACCATAACTGTGACTATCGCAACAAAATCTATCACTCTCCGCCCATTAGAGGTATTAGGTTAGAATCTCTAATAAATGGTCTCTGGATTTTTCCTGATTAGATATGAATTTTACGTAATTACATTTGACTTTGTACTTCTCGCATTTCATGGCCCATTCACCCTGCTGTTTGCGGGGGTTTGTTCCTGGTTTGGGGGGGGGGGTGCCACTTCGCCATAAAATGAATGCAAAATGAGGATCTACTCAATTAATGGCATCTGAAGAAAGTGGACCCAAGTCCACAAAATTTTATGCTGGCTGGAATAAAACATTATTTGTCTTTAAGGTGCCAATGTTTATTTTTTAAAAACAGCAGTAATCGGTTATAATGCTATGGTTTCCCTACTTCTGCTAAGCTAGTTAACTCTTGTGATGGCTAAGCAACTCCAAATCCTTGTTGAGCCCTTGGGAAAACATTTGACGAATTCAAATGCAGTTGCACGCTAGAGAATGGTGATATTTGTTAGGTCAGCAATGAGGGGGTCCCATGAGGCTTGTAGGGGAGGGGAAAGTGAATTCTGCCCAGCCCCTGCTCTCCCCCACCCCCAAATCTGCTTTCCCTCATTCCTGCCCCTCCCCCCCCCAACTCCTCCACAACTGCAGTGCTGAGCAGCTGAGCACCATTGTGACTAGAGAGCCAGTTTGGTGTAGTGGTTAAGAGCGCAGACTCTAATCTGGGAGAACTGGGTTTGATTCCCCACTCCCCCTCATAGGCAGTCAGCTGGGTGACCTCAGGTCAGTCACAAGTTCTCTCAGAGCTGTTCTCTCAAGAGCAGTCCTCGAAAGAGCTCTCTCAGCCCAGCCTACCTCAAAGGGTGTCTGTTGTGGGGAGGGGAAGGGAAAGGAGTTTGTAAGCCGCTCTGAGACTCCTTTGGGTAGTGAAGGGCGGGGTATAAATCCAATCTCTTCTTCTTCTACAACTCGATATACTTCCCAAACTCCAGGATTTTTTAAAAATGGGAATGGGTGGGGTGATTTCTCCTTGTTTTTCTTTTAAAAAAACATTTTCCCTGCAAGGGGATTAAACATAAGGATAGGATGTGTCCTGGGAGGCTGATAAGAAATTCCAGTGAGAGACCAAGCCGCCCTCCTTCCTTTTCCTCTTTCTGGCACGTGCCAGTATTGTTTTGAGCTTGAGACAGAAATAATCCGATGAATCTCTGTGAGGAACAGGTTAGGCCAGAGTTTAATTTTTTCCACCAGGAATCCCTTTGATATGAATTGGTAAACAACCTATGAATCAGAAGCTTGGGTTTGTACACCTCCCGACTGGGTCCCCTCCCGGCCATGCCAAAATGGAGCTGTGATAGGGTTGCCCGCACCAGGTTGGGAAATTCCTGAGGATTTAGGGGAGGAGTCTGGGGAGGGCAGGGGTTTGGGGGAGGGGAGGGGAGGGTCCTCAGCAGCGTGCGATGCCATACAGCCCACCTTCCAAAGTTGCCCTTGTCTCCAGGGGAACCGATCTCTGTTGTCTGGAGATCGGTTGCGATTCCTGGATATTTCCAGGCCCCACCTGGTGGTTGGCAACCCCAAGCCGTGAGCAGGACCTGTTGCCCCTGTTCCTTGCCATTTTCCATGCGGTTTTGGTGCACCTCTGCGTTAGTCGGCTGACCTCTGGTGATTCTGACAACCTGGATTTGGTAGTGTCAAGAGTCCCAGTGTTCCCTCTAAGCTCGAATGAGTGTGAGCTAGCTCACAGTTTTTCAGGCTCCAGCTCACACATTTTTTTTTCTCAGCTCAGGAAGGAGGGCTCCAGAGCAAACTAATTTATGCAGCGGCCAAATCGCTCGCTCACAACTTTAATGCCAGGAGCTCGCAAAGTAGAATTTTTGCTCACAAGACCCCACAGCTTAGAGGGGGCATTGGACCTGTGCTGTTTCTCATGAGTGATGTCACAGGCACTATCCAATAAGTGCTTCATAACACTTGTACAGTAACATAGGTGGAGACAGATTCAGGTGGGGCAGCCGTGTTGGTCTGAAGCAGCAGAACAAAGTTTGAGTCCAGTGGCACCTTT